TGTGGGGTATAATATGGAGATCTGTTCCGGCAAAGTTCAAAACAGGGATGTGTGAGATGAAAATCTTGGGGTCTGAGGTTTTGTGGTCTGTCTTGGGACATTGGTTCAGGACGGGTTGGCACACATGTGGGGTATAATATGGAGATCTGCTCCGGCAAAGTTCAAAACAGGGATGTGTGAGATGAAAATCTTGGGGTCTGAGGTTTTGTGGTGTGTCTTGGGACATTGGTTCAAGGTTGGCACACATGTGGGGTATAATATGGAGATCTGCTCCGGCAAAGTTCAAAACAGGGATGTGTGAGATGAAAATCTTGGGGTCTGAGGTTTTGTGGTCTGTCTTGGGACATTGGTTCAGGATGGGTTGCCACACATGTGGGGTATAATATGGAGATCTGTTCCGGCAAAGTTCAAAACAGGGATGTGTGAGATGAAAATCTTGGGGTCTGAGGTTTTGTGGTGTGTCTTGGGACATTGGTTCAGGATGGGTTGCCACACATGTGGGGTATAATATGGAGATCTGCTCCGGCAAAGTTCAAAACAGGGATCTGTGAGATGAAAATCTTGGGGTCTGAGGTTTTGTGGTGTGTCTTAGGACATTGGTTCAGGATGGGTTGCCACACATGTGGGGTATAATGTGGAGATCTGTTCCAGCAAAGTTCAAAACAGGGATGTGTGAGATGAAAATTTTGGGGTCTGAGGTTTTGTGGTGTGTCTTGGGACATTGGTTCAGCAAGGGTTGGCACACATGTGGGGTATAATATGGAGATCTGTTCCGGCAAAGTTCAAAACAGGGATGTGTGAGATGAAAATCTTGGGGTCTGAGGTTTTGTGGTGTGTCTTGGGACATTGGTTCAAGGTTGGCACACATGCGGGGTATAATATGGAGAGCTGCTCCGGCAAAGTTCAAAACAGGGATGTGTGAGATGAAAATCTTGGGGTCTGAGGTTTTGTGGTCTGTCTTTGGGACAGTGGTTCAGGATGGGTTGTCTCACATGCGTGGTGTAACGTGGAGAGCTGGTCCGGAAAGGTTAAAAACAGGGATCTGTGAGATGAAAATCTTAGGGTCTGAGGTTTTGTGGTGTGTCTTGGGACATTGGTTACCCATTGGCAATGGTTCTGGCGCAAAACATATCTGGATAAAGTTCAAGTGGCCAATTCCTGTTTATCCTTTTACAGTCTCCAACAAACTCTGCTCCGAGAAACTCCACACTTTTCTTTGGTTGCAACCCCAGTGTCGCTGAATATTTTTCCATGGGACAAACCCCCTGAACTTTGAAAATGCCAAAGTTGGGGCTGAATAAATGTCCTAGAGGGATAATATTTTCGGGCACAGGGTCAGGAAAAAATCCTGCCAGCACAAACCCGGTTTTTCATGTTCGTAGATTTCATGGCCTTGGCCCCCAGGGAAATGAAAAGATTTCTTGGGAATAAAATTCATAGTGCTAGGGTATTTAAGTGAATATAGAATCTTTGGACAAGTGCCCGTAGATAAAATTCATAGACACCAGGTAAGTGAATATAGAATCTTTGATGCAAGTGCTGGTAGATAAAATTCATGGAGACTAGGTAAGTGAATATAGAATCTTTGGAGCAAGTGCTGGTGGATACAATTCATAGAGGCCAGGTAACTGAATATACGATGTTTTGAAAGGGGGTTTTGGATAAAATTCCCGTGGTGAGGTTGGAGCGCCATTGGTATAACTGATAGGGCCTAGTGGCCCTGGATATTTTTTGGGCCAGACCCCCCGAATCCTATCCAGGGACGCCCAACGGGGATATTAAATGTCATACTCCTATAACATAATCTAGAGTATACAAATAGTGGTGTATGATAAATTCAGGATGATTATCGAAGCAGTCCTTGGGGGCGCTGTTGAAAGGAACCAAAACGTTTTCCGCTGATGCTTCATGTTCAATGGTTAACCCCCCAATAAAACACATTGTTTGTTGCAATTTATCCCTTGGAGTTTGGATATTCTCATCAAAACATAATAAAACCATAGTCAACCATACTACTCTACAGTAATTCAATATAGACCCTGTCAGATAGGAGTTGAAAGATTATTTTCCACTATTTTTTTTTTCAGGGTCTATGTTAATTTACCAAAGGGTACCCTATGGTAATTTAACATAGCTATAGAAAATCACCATTTTTAATAGGTAAACCATCTATAAATGGGCAATTTTCCATAGTTATGTTAATTTACCAGAGGGTAAACCATATGAAACCACTGAAACCCCAACTCTTGGCGCTTCCCCCGATCGATGCGTCGTTCCTTGCATCATCTCACCGGCGCCTCCACGTCGGGGTTCTCAGGCATCAGCTCGAAGGGTAAGGATTCGGCTGCCACGGCAGATTCCTTCCGTCACAATGGGATGATCTCATGGATATTGAATATGAATGCGACATACCCATTATATATATAATATTTATATATATATATATTTATTTATTTATATCTATATATATATATCTGGTTGGTGGTTTCAACCCCTCTGAAACACAGAAACTGAGAATAATATGACTGGGGCAAAATGGATTAACATATTAGGATATTGATTTTATCGGATATTTGGATTAACATATTTCATATCCTATCTTAATGGGACATAGTAGACATACCCTCTGGTAAACTAACATAGTTCTAGAAAATCACCATGCTATTAGTGGGTAAATCAACGAACTTTCTATGGCCATTTTCAATAGCTATGTAACAAATTACCAGAGGGTAGTATAGGATATTGATTAACATAGTGGATTAATATGATTGTCTAATAGCATTATTGTCTGTAGGATATAGTCTAGTATTATTGATATCAATTGGACATAATATTACGGCCAGGCGCTGCGTGTTGCCCGGAGGTTCAAATGGCGTTTAAACATGTTTAAACATTATTCTTCAAAATGCTCAAACACCTGCGCAGGGCCAGTGTTTTGAGATTTCCCAGATGACGAACCCTAAACCCTAAAACCCTAAACCTAAACCATCCTATATAAACCCTAAAACCCCAAACCCTAAAACCCTAGACCCTAAAACCTAGGCTCTGAAAACTTTGAATCCTAAACTGGAAAACACTGCAAATACGCAGTATTTTCTGCTATCTCTCCTATCATATATTCAACAGCACGACATTCTCAATGTTAATGTCTGGGCAACACACGGCATCTGTGGGTAATATCATTATATTAGATAATGATAATGATAATATGATAACGATTATATTAATGACATTAATAGATAATGATCATGGTAATTAAATTTATCAGATAATAAAACATATGAAATGATGATGTTAATGATAATGATAATATTATTACTAACGATGATCATCCTAATGTTATTGTTAATGATGATCGTCCTAACGGGCCGGGGGTACCATAAAACCTGAATATCATCCCCCCCTGGTTGATGAAGAAAGTACCCTCTGGTTATTTGTTACATAGCGAACTGGAAAATCGCCATTCTTAATAGGTAAATTTTAGGTAAATCATCCATAGATGGACCATTTTCCAGTTCGCTATGTAACAAATAACCAAAGCTTTGAGTGTGTTCCAGAGTGCCCGAAAAATATTAAGCCAACCCCTGTTCCCCAGAGCTGCGAAACAGCTTTTTCACACGGAGTCCATCAAGATCGATTCTGGCCAAAGGTTCGAGGATCACCTGGCAGGTGCATGGTACAATCATCCATCATTGCGCAACTCACAGGTTTTGATGATTATTGAATCTCGACGGACCATGCTTTGAAGATCAACTCGACATTTTGAAGATCAAGTCGCTCAAGAGTCTGATGATGTCTGATGCAACTACAGACCAAGCTGTCCACTCCTTTTTTCGCCCCTGCACAGCGTTGCGCTGTGATGTCTGCCTACTTTGGACCTAGATGGACCGAGGACCATGGACCAATGCGAACCATGGACCGGTGGACCATGGACCAAACCCCCTTTAAACACTGTTCACTACTGCCTCCTTCCAATGCCTCGAGATTGGCTCAGGAGCGCAGGCATTCAAAATCACTTCGGCCCAGCGGCCATGCACACTCAAGCGGGCTGGAAGCAAGTTTTGAATTTGTTCCGTAGCATTTTCTGGTAGCCCTTTCCACACATTTGCTTGTAGTGTTGGCACCATTCAGCAATCGCTGAGCGCTTGCACTCACTGGCCCGGTAAGCTTCATAAAGGGCTTCCCAGCTGCCGCCTCATAAACGACACAGCCGTAGCTCCACATGTCGACAGCAGGAGAAAGCAGCCTCCGCAATGTGCACAACTGGGCATTCTGGAGGTTGAAGAATTCAGGCAGCCTGCGCAAAGCTGTCACGTATGCCTGTAATCTGGGCTGCTCAACCACTTTTCCATGATGGCCCTTCAGGCCCAAAGCTTGATGCTGGTCAGACACAGAAATCTGAACCTCCGCCATGCCGAGGTCGCCAAGCTGAAGGAGCTGAATTTCTTCCAGCCACAGGCAGTTGGACGGTTTGACATCGAGATGTAGAAGTGAAGCCCGTTGATGAAGGATACGCAAAGCACTTTGCAGCTAGTTGGCAACAACGCTCACCATGTCAGGGCTCAACTTTCCTGATCCCAACCGGTTCGCCAAGCTTGGCCCACCAAGTGTCAATGCCATCCAAGGCCATGGTTCGCCACAATGATCGGCATCAAGCAGCACAGGAAAGAACCTGCGCTCCTTCACATTCAGTTTCCCATCTAAGAGCTGGTAGCTCTGAACCTCTTGCTCGCATTCCACCCGGGCATGGAGGCCATTGAATACCTTCAGGGCACAGGGGCTACCATACCGGCATCTGCCAGTGTGCCAGCAAGCACTTTTCCATATGTGCCTTCACCCAGAATGGTGTCGACCTCATACTGCCCCCCGAGCTTCACCATGGCACCAGCAGCCGGCTCAGGATCACTTGGCTTTCATTTTGCTTGGCAGCTGCGCAACTGATTTGTCGCAAGGGGATCCCCATCTGCAACAAAGCAGCGCGTCGGGCCAGAAACTCAGCCTTGCTTTGGTCTTGGTATGGTGCTTTTTCTGCATCCCGAAGGGAGGACCAAACTTTTCCGAGTCTTTTCATTTCAGCTGTAAACTCAAACTTGGAAGCTCCTGGCTTGACACAAGACCTCTCCTTCAAAAAAAGGGCAAAAGCTTTTGTCGCCTTTCGAACCACTAGGCCTTCCTGCGCAACCTTGCTCACTGGATTGCCTCCAGATCTTTTTCTTTGTCATTTTTCATGTGTTTTGGTTTTCTTCCAGAGCCTTGTTGTTGGCACACCTTTGAGCCAACGGGCCATGGACGAGGGGCCGCGGACCGTAAACCTGGAACCACTTGCAAGGGAGAGCGCTTGAGCCACAGGGTGCGGACACGAGAAAGAGACTCAGTGGCTGCCAGAAACCGAGGCAAGAGTTTCATTGAAGCCTTGAATGCTGAAATCTGATATTATATATCAAGTCACTCATACACAGCGCAGCTTACAGCCATGCATCCCCACCAGCCTTCAAGTGGCAGTAGAAGGAAGGAGTGGGTGGCGGAAGGATCTTGCAGCTACTCCATCAGCTTGGCACCCACTCTGGGAAGCGGCTGACCATGGTGGATCTGAAAACAGGGTTGGAAAAATGAGGCTGGCACGGTGTCATGCTGAGTCGGTGCCGCTGGCTACTTAAGCGAAGGCAGCATGTCATTTTCCCAAGCTGCCAGGGGATGTCGACATGTCAGTTCAATAGAACAGCTTAAGTGTGATCTGGGCCAACTGAACAATGGCTTTGGCAATCAGTTTGCTTTCTTGAAACAAACCTTACTAAGCCCTTTTGACCATCTCTATACGCTCTAGGATAAAATTGTCAAATGGTGTGACAGAGGTTAGAAGGCAGGAAACAGAAAAGCAGGAGACTGAGAAGAATTAAACAGTTGGAGAAATGCAAAGGAAGCCTTGGAAAAACACATGCCGTTGGTGTGGGAGAAATGCAAAGGAAGCCTTGGAAAAACACATGCCGTTGGTGTGGGCCTAACATCCCGCACATAGCAAGCGATGACGAGGAAACCGAATTGTTCGGCGGCAGGCAGAGCAGTGATGGCTGGACACCGCAAAAGCTTGCTCAGGATCCTGGTTGTGCAATCCTTGCCAAGGAGGCAAATCAAAAGGCACTTGGGAGAAATGTGTGCACAGAATTTGCAAGCACATGTGTCAACTTTTGCTCTGCTTGGATACCTAGGCACTCAATGCACGGGTGGCCGCATGCGTATAGGACCGTGAAAGGCGTGGATAACCCTGACGTCTTTCGGCCCCTTCGGCATCTCCATGAACACATTCTTTGCTTTCAGCAACCTCAATGCTAAAGGCGAGCGACTGGAGGTTCGGAACTTGGTTGCAAGAGTCAGCAACTGCTTTACCTCGCATGATCCAAACCACTGTTTCATCATTCTCACATACTTTCTCAGATTTGGTTTGACATTACATTCTATCTAGCTCACGTTCCAACATCTTTTCCTCATGCGTACCCGGTACTTGATTTGCCATATATTCTGGAGTTTTTTGTGCTCAATGTTCAGCCGGCAGATGCTTTAAATTTGTTATCCGGCATTCAGTCTTGCATTCGAACATTTTCTCTGACATATTATTGTCACTTTGTTGCTGAAAGTCCATCTGTCAAATTCTTAGGCCGCCGGCATTCTACAGCTAAATTGCCGATGCCCAAACCGGCAAATCGCAACAAGATAAGGTTCAGGGGAATGATTTTGGCCCGAAGATGTTGGACAGGAAAAGGGGACAACAATGTAGAACCTTTTTGGGGCCAATCCCATTTTGGTAAGCTGGGATCAATTTGGTTGGCAAGCTGGGCGCATAGCAGCGAGGAGGCAGACAGGCAGAGGAGGGGAAGAAGCAAGAGGAGAAGAAGCAAGAGGCGCACGCATCAGTTGAAAAATATTCTAAAGGTTCTTGCTGCATGGCAAGTGGAAAAATCTTGAAAAACCGTGGGCCGACTTCATATGCATCCGAAGGACCTTATGCGGTGAGAAGCCAGGCCGCCACCCACACCCCAGCGCGGGCCGTAAGCCACAGCACCCAGCAGGCAGCCAGCGCTCTCAATTGCAACTTGATGCAAAAGAGGCACGGATCCCAAAGACTTCCTGCCATTCTTGAATTTCTAAAAAGGAAATCTGCCAAATCCCAGAGGTCAATGCTTTCCGCGCATGGCCTCGCAGCCTCGCTTTTTGCAGCACAGGTCAGACACTTGACATGGGCAAGCGTTGTTCCAAGATTATAGGCAAGGAACGGCAGCAGCGACCCTGCCGCCTTTTCCACAGGGACTCTTCCAGCCAGTCTCACCCAGGAGCTGCCTGGGAATTGCAGCGGTATCCATTAGCT